ATTTTGTGAAGGATCAATTTGAAAAAGTTTGAAGAATATAGAAGCAAAAAACAAAGAGAAGGAGAATAAGGTGTTGAAAACTCAGATTTTTTTTGGTCTCCAAATTACACAAGACTAATCTCTATTTATAGAGGTGAAAAAATAAAAATTATTGATATAAAAATTATAAATTAATTCCTAGCATTTATCTCCCAAAATATCATTTAAAAATTAGGAGTAAAACAAAAAAAGCCAACCAATCAAGCCTTGACACATGACTTGATGCTTGGGTTGATCTACTGTTGCGGGACCCACACGGAGAGAAAAACCGGAGGTGAAATTTTCACCCATCCGATTCCCATTTCCCATTTCACCCCCCCGATCTCTACCTGCTGGAGCCAAAAAAACCCCCAATCTCCACCTGCTGGAGATAGTCTTAAGATGATGCAGTAAAATCATGTGAAATGCACATCATCGTCATTCATAGAAGAAAATATACTGTAATGAAAACTTCTTCATTTTAAATGATTGTAAAATGGTATAAAAAAGAAAAATCAATTCCATGGTAAATCAAATTACAAATTAAGTTATACTAGAGCTATATGGATGTCTATGACAAAATAATATATTCTATGTTTGGAAGGGTGTAAGGTTAAATCTATAAATGAGGACAAAACATAAAAGCAAGGTAGGAATCATAAGTAAAGAAAAGGCAAGTCGAATAACAAAAAGGGGTATATACTCCTCTATAATTCAAAAAAGTGTTGGCGCCTACAAAAAAAAATCTTGCCAATTAAGTAAATTTGGATTAATTTTAGAAAACGCCCCCTCAACTATGGGGGTCATTATAGAAAACCCCTATTGGCTTTTTTAACTCTAGAAAAAAACTCCTAAATTTGAGATTGTTGTAGACGACCCTTCTTAACTTTCAAAATATGACTTATTCCCTTTAACTTTTCTCACTTAACCCTCTAAACTAACAAAATTAAATCTAAATAGGCACATGATTTAAAATAACAATACTATCCCTAAGATATTAAAAATCGTTACTGTGGTTTTCCTTCTTGAATTTTTTATTTAAAAATACCTTTCATTTTATTTTTGCCCCGGTTTCTTCTTCTTGCTCCATCTCCAATGCTAGGTCCACTAGAGAACCTAATTTTTTTCTTGTTGTGCGCAGCGAAAATTTCGACAGCACCTCCGGTGCGCAAGGTGCACAACAAGAGATTAGATCGTAAGAATTCCTGTCTCACCAAGGAAACAAGAATCTGAAGCGGATATATCAACAAAGTGAGATATCGGCTCTTCCTCTCATCAGTTCTAGGACTGACCTGTCGAGGGATCCTACAAGCTATTACAAATCACGACAAGAACACAAATTTTACGTGGTTCGGCAAATAGCCTACGTCCACGGGGCAAGGAGGGGGAGATCTACTATATAGAGGGAGAGATACAATTGGGGTTTACAATCTCAAAGATAAAACCCTCTCACAAACTCTCAGATCCCTCACACAAATACTCTCTCAAAGGGGTGCTAAAAACAAAGAACATCTACAAAAGACTTGCTTTTCTTCCGTGAATAACCATCAAAAGCACTGCTCCTTTTGTTCTCTGTGTCTGCAGCAGCCGCCAAAAGAAACCCCTGCTCTGCACTCTTCCGCAGTCGCTCCTTTTTATTCATGTGCTCAAAAATCAGCCGCACAAAAAAATTCCGTGCCCTCTCTGCCACGCCCTAGCTCTTGATTGAAGAGATATATATATCATTGTGATTAAGGTAAGTGGGCTTCTCGTGGGCCTGTGCTTCATGCGGTTTGAAACCGCGTTCCTCCCACTCACGTGATCACATTTCTTTCTTTTTGGAACTGCTAAACTTATTTTATTTTCTACTTATCAATACTTCTAATATTTGAAACAATTGAAACTTTTGAATTTATTTGAATATGAGTTTCATCATTAAACATTTAAACCCCATTGAATTTAAGTCTAATATTTAGGGGGTTTTATAAAATTAAAATAGGTGAGGAGAATTTTCTTGAGACAAACCCCATGTTTAGAGTTTTTTTTTATAAAATTAACCCATATAAAAATCACGATTCAAAAAGGAAAGACAAAAAAAATTATTCAAGACAAACGTTAGCCGACAAACGTTAGCCGTCGCCCGTCGCTAACAATATAAATTTCTTGTTAAAAAGGAGTCGATAAAATTGACACGAGAAAAAGATTTCTTACAATAACAAAGAAAATTCCAAGAGCGGAAAGATCCAAAAGGATACACCTCATTTAACTCTTAAAAATTCAAAAGATTTCTTACAATAACAAAGAAAATTCCAAGAGCGCAAAGAGCAAAGATCCAAAAGGATACACCTCATTTAACTCTAAAAAATTCAACATCAATTCCAATCCTTTTCTTCTACTACTGCCTTTTCATTTTACAACTTTCATTTTTTTTCTAAATAACGGGGACATTGCTTCTAGCGCCCAATTTTCTTAGAAGTATTACATCCCCTTCCAAAACTTTTTCAATGCTCTCAAAACCTTTGAAAGTAAACTCATAATTCCATGAGCCCCAAAACACAAAACCCAAGAGTTTAAAATATGTGAAGACCATAATACACTTTTACTCTCTCTCTCTTTTTCATGATGCTACTGTGATGATTTGAAATGATTTTTTTTTTTTTTTGGGGGGGGGGGGGGGGGCTACGATCTTAAAGACGGTGATGACGAGTTGCGTCACCAACCCCCTTAAGTTTACATATTGTTGTAATTTTTTTAAAATCGATGACTTGAGACTAAATTAGAGTATGTAAATTTATATATTATTATTATTATTTTACTGTAATAAGTTTATTGTTAAGCCTATGAGTTGGTAGTGAAGGAAGGTTACATGCTGGTTTTGAAGGTTACGGGTTGGTTGTGAGAGATACGCGTTGGTTATGAAAGTGTTACGGGTTGGTTGTGAAGGATACATGTTTGTTGTGAAGCTTACGCGTTGGTTGTGAAAGTTACAGGTTGGCTATGAAGGATACGCATTGGTTGTGAAGGTTACAGGTTGATTGTTAATTTTATGGGTTGGTTGTTAAGAATAAGCGTTAGTTGTGAATGTTATACGTTGGTTGTGAATGATACGGGTTGGTTGTTGAGGTTACAGGTTGGTTGTTAAGGATAAATGTTGGTTGTGAATATTACACGTTGGTTGTGAAGTTAACCTTCACAACCAACTCATTACCAAGATTGGTTGTGAAGGTTACGGGTTACTTATTAAAGGTTACGCGTTGGTTGTGAAGGTTACGGGTTGGTTATAAAGGTTACATGTTGATCTTATTACGGTTACACGTTGGTTGTGAAGGTTACAGGTTGATTGTAAAGGTTATGGGTTGATTGTTAAGGTTACACGTTGGTTGTGATGGTTACACGTTGGTTATGAATGAAACGGATTGGTTGTTAAGGTTATGGGTTGATTGTTAAGGATAAGCGTTGGTTGTGAAGGTTACGCGTTGGTTGTGAAGTTAACCTTCACAACTAACTCCTTACCGAGGTTGGTTGTGAATGTTTTGCGGGTTGGTTGTAAAGGCTACGTATCTTGTTAAGGTTACGCGTTGTTTGTAAAGGTTATTGGTTGGTTGTGAAGGTTACAGGTTGATTGTTAAGATTACACATTCATTATGAATGTTACGCGTTGGTTGTTAAAATTACGGGTTGGTTGTTAAGGTTAACTTCACAACCAACATGTAACATTCACAACTAACGTTTATCCTTAACAACCAACGCGTAATCTTAACAACTAATCCGTAACATTCACAACCAACGTGTAATCTTAACAAACAACATATAACCTTAACAACCTACGTGTAACCTTAACAATCAACCCGTAATCTTCTCCATTAATATACATTGTGGACTTTGCTTTCTTTCACATAACTATCATCTCTACTAACTCTCTTGGTACTCTTTTCAGTCTCCTTCTCTGAGTAATAAACAATAGCTGAAGAACCAAATCCACTCCTAGAACTCGCAGGGATCGAAGGAGAGGACCTATTCGAGCTCGAAGGAACACAACTAGATGCTTTCTAAATCAATTCGTCTAATAACGAATGGATGTTCTCAAGATCAAGTAGCTTAAGAGCTTCTGCCTTTTGCTCTTTACTCTGGTAAACCAAATTCTTCTGCATCTCCTGGAGAACAAAGAAGAGCTCCTCAAGGATCTCAATACCTTTCATTTGCTTTGAAATTGACTCCATTTTTGCTAGCTCCTCCCTCTCTATGCTTTTATGCCATAGCTGCTTCAACCTCAACAATACTTTGCCTTGGTGGAAGAGACCTATGGAGGTTCATGATCTCTTCAATAACTCCATTAACTGATTGCAACAAATGACCCATCTTTCTTCAAAGTTTGAGAAACCCAGATGGAAAAAGATCACTAGAGGACTTATAAAGAGAACCCATATAAAAATGAGATAATATCAACCCGTAACCTCCTCCACCGCCCTATGCGCCGCTGCCCTGAGCTCTTTCGCCTTGATCCTCATTTCCTCGTACTCCTCCCCTCCCCCCATCACTCTCTTCAAAGCCCTGTCCATCTCCTCCGGCGCTCACCGATCGTCTGCGACTCCATGGCCACGGCCTCCTTGATCTCGAACTCCTTGCCGCTGGAGCTCTGGAGGACGATCGTCTTCTTCGAATCGTTGGCGGCCGCCATCGGGGAAAGGAACGGAGGAAACCCTTTCAAATCATCACATATAAAAAAAGAGAGAGGGGAAGAGTATTACGGTCTTCACATGTTTAAAACTCTTGGATTTTGTGTTTTGGGACTCAGGAAATTATGAGTTTATTTTTTAGGGTTTTAATAACGTTAAAAAAGTTATAGGGGTGAGCAGAATACTCGTAGGGAAATTAGGGGCCGGAAGCAATTTCCCTATAATAAAAATAAGATAAAATTGAAGAAAAGCGCGGCTGCCATAGTCATTATATCACCTACCCGCTCTTCACGTGCCTCATCTTAACTACACTCACACATACACGCTATATAGCCTCTCTCCCTCTCTCTCTCTCTCTCTCTACATTCCTCTCATTAATTTGAGCAGCTGGGCACTGCTTTCTCAAAGAATTAGGAGATGGGTACCTCCAAATTTCACGTCGTGACGATGATGTCCCTGTTTTTGACGATGGGAGCAAAAATTGAAGGGTACCCATCAGGGGACTTGGTTGTAAATTTACCCGGGCAGCCGGAAGTTGGGTTCAAGCAGTACGCGGGCTACGTCAACGTTGATGAGGGAGCAGGGAGGAGTTTGTTCTACTATTTTGTTGAAGCCGAGGTCGATGCTGAGGAGAAGCCTCTCACTCTCTGGCTTAACGGAGGTATGTAGGACAAATTTTCAAAACCAACCTATTTGAGAAACTAATTGCAAAAAACGACCCGTTTGACATTTATTTAGAGAAACCGACCTGGTTTCAGCACTGTAGCTGAAACCAGGTCGGTTTTTCTAAAAAAGTTTACGAAACTTCACGGGAGTTCAACTCCCGTGAAGTTTTGTTATGAGAAAAAACTTCACGGGAGAAAAACTTCACGGGAGTTCAACTCCCGTGAAGTTTCGTAAACTTTTTTAGAAAAACCGACCTGGTTTCAACTACAGTGCTGAAACCAGATCGGTTTCTCTAAATAAATGTCAAACGGATCGTTTTTTGAGAATAAAATCTCAAATGAGTTGGTTTTGAAAATTTGTCCGAGGTATGTATGCTGATTTTTATTTTATTTTATTTCTTTAATTTTTTTTTATGCTGCTTTTACAGTTTTATCGAGAGTAGCGAAAGGGGCCGGTTGCTTTTTCCCTTTTAATTTTAATTTACTGTTTGAGATTGGACGTGTGAGTGAGGGACAGGGACAGGGTTTGATTTGTTGTTGCAAGTTGCAGGGCGTGTGTTTATTGGGATTGGAACCTTGCTCCTCTTTTGGAAATTTGATGCTCGCAGAAAATTCTTACGTTCTTTGTTGGCTAAAATGTTTTTTTTTATTCACTTGAGAAAGAGCTAATAAAATTTTGAAAATTGACTAGGATGCCATAGATCGTTCTTGCTCTTAACGTTTTTTTTTCTGCTCTAAGCTGTGTTTGACAAACCCTTAAAACTGCGTCGAGACAGAAATTGACCAACCAACCGAAATTGACTATGATGCTACAGACAGTCCTTGCTCTGAACCCTTTTGACGAACTCTTAAAACTGGGTTAGGACTAAACTTGACCAACTAGGCTAACTTGGCCTGGTTTTTGGTTTATTTTTTATTGGCAAAAATCAGGCCCATTGTGGTTCAATTTTTCTTAGGCTAAAAAAAAAAGCTTAAAATGATTTTTTTTTTTGATCCCTCCCTCCCTTGGATTAAATAAAGGAACCAGTTTACCTCAAAGTTTAACCAGGATGAGTCTTGACCCAATTTTGAGGAGTTTGCCAAACAGGCCTTTGATATAATTAACTAGAACATATATACCATTTTCTAAATGAGCTAATGTCCACAGTTTGATTTACCCAGGTTTAGCATCCCCAATTGTTTTGTAATTTGCAGTTTGGCTGGCCAACTCAATTAAAATTTGCAGTTTTAGGATCTAATAATAATTCAGAACAACAAGAAATACAGTGGCTAATTGCTTCATCTACAATAAATAACACTAGAAACTAGTACATGCTTGATTACTAATGTATTTAAGGGCCTCGTGCTATATAAATAATTATGTTTATTTCGTAATTATCCATAGATCGTCTACAGTCTACTTATGGTATGAGAATTTTTGAATATCAAAATTAGTTCACAATGAAATAACGTCGAAACCCGTAGTAGAATTACTAAGAGCATCTCCAACCATAAAACCCAAAATAGTGTAGTTTTTACACCAAGTTGGTGTAGTTTTTACACCAAATCACTATTCCATCTCCAACCCATTACACCAAATGTTACACCAAAAAGAATATTCTTTTTATTATTCTTATCTTTTAACATTTTTATCTATTTAAAATATTCCTTCTATTGTTGAATTTTATTTTAATAATTATTTTATACTCTAATTTCATTATAATAGTTAATATAAAATAACATATATTATTAATACAAATATAAATAACAAAAGGAAAAAAAAGTTTTTCTGTATTTCTTCTTATAAAAAACCTTCCATTTTAAGTTTTTACAAAAAAAAATAATAATAATAATAATAATGCGCCATCGCTACAGTGTTGCGTCATTTCTGGCGCAACACTGTAGCGGCCTGCTATTTTAGCGGAGCCGATGCCGCTCGGTTGGAGTGAGGACCGGACGCTAACTTGGTGTTTTAGCGTCCGGTTGGAGAAGCCCTAACATTTGGAGAAGAAAGAGGTGTATGCATTTAGTTTTTCTGATCTTGTATTCTTCATCGTCAGTTGAACAGGGAACATGGTGATCTACTATTGTGTTTCCTTTTCTATTGTATCTAAGATGATTATGGCTTAATTAAAACAGAAGATTAATCTTTGAGAATTAGCTCAGTGGTCTCAAGTAACATGTTTAAGTTAAATTTGGATATGGTGTTTTCACTAGCAGATAATATTAATATGTAGAAGATTGTTTTATAGTATTTCATCATCTTCCTCATTGCGATCATGTTTAAGTTAATTAGCAGGATGAATGCCCATTTTCTCATTTTCTTTCATCTGTGACAGATATATCATTGTACTCGTCAATTTTAAATACACTTATTTCTTGTGCTAATACTTAGTCTGATGATTAGGTCCTGGTTGCTCTTCAGTAGGAGGAGGAGCCTTCACTGAGCTGGGTCCATTTTATCCTAGAGGCGATGGTCGGGGCCTTCGAATTAACAGAAAATCATGGAATAAAGGTATATTTATTATGTATATTTATTATATATATACACACACAGTCACAGCTAATCGTAGTTTCAGTTATAATTTGACTCATTTAGCACCAGCAGCTGTTCTGATCTCATTTTCTTCATACTCAGTATCAAATCTCTTGTTTGTTGAATCCCCTGCTGGAGTTGGATGGTCTTACTCAAATACAACTTCTGATTACACAACCGGAGACGAAAAGACCGGTAAGCATCACATAGAATAATTTCTTCTATGTACACAATCTTAGATTTATTACTTAAGACATTAACCTAAATATGTTTTGATCTTTCAACTATCAAAAAGCCAATGACATGCACATGTTCCTATTGGGATGGTATGAAAAATTCCCAGAGTTCAAATCCAGAGACTTGTTCCTTAGTGGAGAGAGCTATGCAGGTCAGAACCACTCACTGGAATTGTATTTGTGCCTTGTATACAAAACTTAATTAATATGGAAATACTGGCTACAGGGCATTACATACCACAGCTAGCCAATGTTCTTCTGGATCATAATAAGCATTCAACTGGTTTCAGATTTCATATTAAAGGAGTTGCTGTAAGTATTACTCCCCTCCTCCACAAACCTAACAAACCTATAACATTTATTAATTTTTTACGTTTTATGTATGTATAACCCTTAATCATACGTATTTGCAATACTGCCCCCAAATCATTAGCTTTGAATCAAATGCCTCCATATCAACAAATCATCTACTTTGTCGGGAATGTTGAGTAAAGTTTCACTGTTTTTGATATTGTTTTATTTCATTTACAAATAGGCATGATTTGAGGGCTATGTATACAAAAAGAGGGTTTTTTTTGCATATTTACCACTCAGATCTTCCACATTTGCAAATTCACCCTCCAAATCTTGATATTTGCAAATTTTCCCTTCCAAATCTCTCACATTGAGTATTTATGCCCCTCTCACTTGGCAATTTTACTCAACAAGAAAGAATTGGATGGTAAGTTTACAAATATCAAGATTTAAGGGGTAAAATTGCAAATATGGAATACTTGAGGGATGTATATATATCCCTCAAGTATGGACACACACACACACACACATATATACATATATGTGTGTATATATATGTGTGTGTGTGTGTGCGCGCGCGCACGCAAAAACCCCTTAAAGACCTAATAATTTTTTGGTTATTGTGACAATAACGCTTGAAACTATCACTGAAACAGATTGGAAATCCACTTTTAAAGCTTGATAGGGATGTTCCAGCAACCTATGAGTATTTCTGGTCACATGGGTTGATTTCTGATGAGATTGGTCTCACTATTATGAACAACTGTGATTTTGAAGATTATACCTTCAGTAGCCCACATAATGTCACGCAAGTTTGCAATGATGCAATATCTGAAGCAAATAAAGTGGTTGGAGAGTACATTAACGATTACGATGTGCTGCTTGATGTGTGCTATCCATCGTTGGTGGAGCAGGAACTGAGATTAAGGAAATATGTATGTACCTGAAAACATTTTATATTTGGTGTCTTTAATTGAATGGTTTTTAAGTTCATAGGTGAGTGATGGTAATGATTTTTATGGTACCAGGTTACTCAGATTAGTGCTGGTGTTGATGTTTGCATGAGTTTTGAAAGAAGTTTTTACTTCAATCTCCCAAAAGTGCAGCAGGCTCTTCATGCCAATAGAACAAAATTGCCTTATAGATGGTCTATGTGCAGCAGGTGAGATTTATTTGATGATATACGCTTTATAACCCATAAAAGCACATACTTTAACAGGTTTTTTTTAATGTTACTACTTGATAAGCTTATATCGATTGACTAAGAATAGTAACTGATTCTTTTGTATCTTTTCAATTTTGTGAGCCAGCTTTCTGAATTATAGTGGTACAGATGGTAACATCAATATTCTACCTCTACTCAAAAGAATAGTTAATCATCGGATACCAGTTTGGGTTTTCAGGTAATGCCTTCACTATTTTATGTCATGCAAATTGTATAGAAATTTAGAGATTGACAATTTTGTCACTGCAGTGGAGACCAAGACTCGGTAGTACCCCTGTTGGGCTCTCGAACACTAGTACGAGAACTAGCTCATGATCTTAAATTTAGAATGACTGTTCCTTATGGTGCTTGGTTCCACAAAGGACAGGTATAATCCTCTACTTCCAATCATATATTACAATTATTTTTTCCTATAGTAGTAGTTCTTTGTTGCCTATGTTCATCAAATCTTAATACTATTCAGAAAAAATATTAGAATAAAAATGTGAAAAGAAAAATATATATAAGTTGCGGTAATGCACGTAAAAACAAGTTGGGACGACAAAATTTTGTCACAGTATTACAAAACTCTGATGTGAGTCACTGTTATCTGCAAATGATTCAGAAATAATGAAATGAAAAATAGCTGAATCAGGGTAAAGTATTGACACATGATTCTTATCGGTGAAGCCATGGATTTGTAAATAGTTGGCAAATTTGTTGACTCAATTGCCCATGTTACTAGGGAACGTAATTTTAATTTATCATTGTCCTCTTAGCTGCAGAAATCCTACAAATGCACTAATGTACTCTAATTTCATCAACAACTCCTGTTTCTTTCACTCCTCAGCTCAATATATAAAATTTTCTATTACACTTGGAGTATGTTTGATTAGATATAGTCGGAGCTGTAAATGCATTTACAATGTCATGTAGTTCAAAGTTCTGTTGTTGGAACACATCTCAATTTGAACACATTAGTAACTCCTATATTTTTTTTAAAGTCCTTTTGTCTTTGTAACAATTTTTCGGAGTTGCAAGAACACCTAACCAAACAGGTGTTATAAATTTGGACGTAACTCAAACTATATACTACTGCAACTACTACTGTTATGCATTGTTTACGCTTCCTTTCAAATAAATTACTAGATACTAACATATGGCTTCACTTGTTATCTGTTTTGAGTAAAGGTGGGTGGATATGCAACCGAGTATGGAAATATACTAACATTTGCGACTGTTAGAGGTGCATCTCACATGGTTCCTTATGCACAACCAGCTAGAGCTCTCACTCTATTTAGATCTTTCATAAGCGGTCAAAGACTACATAATACAACTTCTCCATCAATTGATGATTAAATAGTCCTCAACAATCTTCATGCTGAAGAAATTAGCAGCAACTGCAACTAAAGGTGGATCATATGTTACCTTATTCTTTAGATAGATTGAGAAATAACAGATAGATTCGACAAATTCTGAATGAGACGAACTGTATATTAAAGGTCTCATGATTTTCATAGTTCAAATTGTCATTTCTTTTGGCTGTGTTCTTTGGAATATTGATTTTCAATGAAATTCATTTCCAAGTGTAATCTAAAGTCCACATTATGGATTACTGTTGCCATTTTGCCTGACACAAAGCTTTAACTATATGCCTCAAAAAAATTGCGATGTCTTGCAAATTACTGAAACTTCTCATTTCTACTGCCTAAAAGAGAAACTATACCTCTTACCGCAAAGTTCCGGTTAAATATTAGTTCATCAATTTGCTTTTCCATTAAAAATCATCATGTACAAATTACTAAATGAAGATCACATGTAAACAATGTACAATGCAATAAATTGCTAGCAATATAAAGAATAGTACCTGTTAGCTAGAAGCTCTTCAGACTTTAGTGTCAATATCATTGAGAAATAGCCTTTTAAGAACCTTCAAGCCAATTTAGTTCGTGGTTAGTGTCCCTTAAACTCCTTATTGCCATTATCTTGTACAATCCATCTAAAACATCAAGAACCATCTCTGAAGGACAACAAACATCACCTTGATAGAAAACCTGCACCCTCCCTTTCATATGAATCCAACTACAGCCTGGAGCCTTCGTCATGCCCAATTCATGCATCCTCGCCCTCATTATGGCCACTTTATCCAACATTCCAACACTCTCATAAATACCACAAAGAGCGATATAGTTACTAGAGTTACGGGGCTCCAATTCAAACAACTCATATGCAGCAACCTCCCCAACCTCAACATTACGGTGCATTGCACAAGCATTAAGTAATGCACCCCAAACACTTGCAATTGGCTTCATTGGCATACTCTTTATAAGTTTCAATGCTTCTTTAGTCCGCCCTGCTCGGCCTAGAAGGTCAACAATGCAAGCATAATGCTCAACACAAGGTTCCAATCCATAATCTCTCATCATCGAATCAAACAATGCTTGACCCTCATTCACAAGGCCCGAGTGGCTACAACTTGAAAGAATTGAAGTAAACGTAACAGAATTTGGTTTTAAACCTCTTTGAATCATCTTGTCATAAAGAGCCAAAGCTTCCTTCCCCTTGCCATGAACTCCGTAACAAGATATCAAAGTAGACCAAGTAACAACATTTCGTCGATCACCCATGACCAAAAACACCTTACGCGAAGCATCAAGGCATCCACACTTAGCATACATCTCAACTAACGAATTATTAACAACAACATCATAACATGACACCAAATTCCTAACAACCCTCCCATGCACCTCCTTCCCTCTTCTCAACTCTCCACTCTTCCCACAAGCACTCAAAACACTCGGAATCACCATCACATCAATCTCTCCAATCTCAAATAGCAATCTCCAAACCAACCCCATCGCTTCATCAACAAACCCACCTCTAACAAACCCCGAAATAATCGAACTCCAAACGACAACATCCCTCTCACCCATTTCATCAAACACTTTTAGGGCATCTTCCAAACACCCAAACTTCACATACACATCAACAATTGAAGTCATAACGACAATGCAAGCCTCATAACCAAGCCTAACAACCCAACAGTGCAACCCAACTCCAAATCCAACACAACCCATTTCGCCGCAAGACTTGAAAACGGGCGGCAGAGTGAAGGAATCAGGAACAAGATTTGAGCTCAAAAACTGATGAAAGAGGGAGAGGGTTTGAGAGTGGAGGTGGGTTTTTGTGTAGGAGGAGATGAGGATGTTGTAAGAGCGAAGTGCTGGGCTGGGCATTTCATCGAACATTCTGCGTGCAAAGGGGAGAAGGGAGCAGCGAGAGTAGAGGAGGATGAGGTCGGTGTAGAGAGTTGGGTTGTTGAAGAGGAGGTTGTGGGTGAGGATTTGGGTGTGGGTTTGTTGGCCGGGTTTAATGGCGCATTTGGGGACGCAGCGGCGGAGGATGTAGGAGAATTTGGCGGGTAAATTGGACAACCGTTGCATTTCAAACTATTATGATGGTGGAAGTTAAACATTATGCCAAATAATTCGCAGGAAACCTAAAAAAAATATAGAGGGCCCCATAGAGCATCTCCAACCCTACTCTCTAAATTAGAATATTCCAATTTGGAGAGTGGAATTTGAAGATTTGCTCCAACCCACACTCTCTAAATATTATTTTTTGTCTAAAAAAGCCATATAAATTAATAATGTTGGATATAGTTCGCATTAATAATTTTATATTTAATAAGTTATTTGGAAAAAAAATAACAACATTAGAAAGGTGTCGACGAGAGCTTTTAAATGAACCCAATATTAATAATGCAATACAACATATTAAAAAAATAAAATATGAAATACCACTAACAAAGCATACTTCGATAGAATAAGGAAGCAAACATAAACCTCTAATACAACATACCATAGTTCGCGAACATAAACCTCAAACATAAAATATGATAACAATCAATTAAAATTCCGACAGGTCATTATCGTTATAACTACTGGTTCCATCTTGATCTCTCGATGAACCTCCATATTCATTTCTTCCTACATAACCAGCTTCTCCCGCAAATCGAGAAAATCCTCCTTAATTTCCAGAGGAAAATCCATATTCGTTTTCTCCTCCTACAGCTCCTCTAAGAAGCTCAGAAAATCCTCTTGGCCCTCTGGAGGAAAATCCATAGTCGAATGATGGAGCTCTAAGAAGCTCAGAAAATCCTCTTGGCCCTCTGGAGGAAAATCCATAGTCGAATGATGGAGCTCTATATTCTTTTCTATTAATAATTTCTTGTTTTTTTTTATAATAAGCACGTTCACTTTGATCGACGATCTTACTTAGATCAATTAACATAATTTGTCTATCCTCACTTTCACAAAGAAGAGCTAATTATTGGTCACGTTGTTCTACTTCTCTAGCTCGCAATTCTAATTTTATTTTTTCATTTTTAAGTTTCATTATCAACAATCACTCTATTTTTTTCCCTGCTCATTTCACGTTTAGCATCCATCTCTTGCATACTCTTAATAATTCCCTCATCAGAACTAAACCCCGCTGACTTTTTTCTCTTTGCCTTCTCCTTTCTTCCAACATGCTGACTTGTTGGGCTGTCCGTGGGAAACTGGCTATCACTCATGTTCATAAAACTTTTGCTCTTCGTGTTGAGATCCATAACGTCCTCTGTTGCATTAGGTTGACTTTGCGTGTTCGACTCTGATCCTTCAAAGATGCTCCCAACTGCATGATTGGATTTATGGTCAGCCCATTTCTCGGCATCCTTGTGGATCGTCCAAACATGATCAAACTGAAATCCTTTTCTTTCTTTAACATCTTCTCCGTACATGATTCTAGCTTGAGTCAACGAAGGAATGTAATTTAAATATTATAATTTATTCTTGTATTTTCTTATGGGGCAAGTTAAATAGATTCCTGTATTTAAATTTTCATATATGATACTTATTTATTTAATTTAAAAAATAATAATTTTATAATAATACTAAAATAAATAATCTTAGTTTTATTTTGAAGATCTCGATGAGATCTTTCCAAATATATATTTATTTTACAATTAGGTTAATAATTTTTTAACTATATTTATTTGAAATTAAACATTAAATTACTAAGAATGACGACAAAGTGATAATTTTCAAGAAATTAATAGTTGAAAGTGACAAAGTTGTAAATAATAAAAATTTAAATAGTGATTCGGAGAGCCTCTCCAAATTCTAGCTTCACTCTCCAAATTTGGAGAGTAAACAATCTCTAAATTTGGAGATATCAATTTTGGACCAAATTTGGAGAGTGATTGGGGAGGATTCACTCTCCAAATTTGGAGGGATGGAGATTTTGGAGAGTGATTGGAGATGTTCTTACAGGTGTATACATAAATGTAGAGTATAAGTATTCTATCGATGTTGATAGGTTGAATGTACATGTATGACCCTTTGTACGATTGGATTATGCCGAAATTTTATGGAATGCTCAGAATTTATTCTAAGATTGACGATTATATTGGTTCTAATATTGTTTGCATGGATTTTGCATATTATGGGCTGTTTGGTTGGCTGGGAGACTAAGAAAAGGAAATCAAAACACCCGACACACCGATATGTGAAGGTGTTTGATTTCTTTTTCTTGTGTTTGGTTGAGAGAGGAAAAAAAGAGATGTTGTGCATGTGAGGCCCACCCATTAGTAATATAATAGTGTCATGAGTCTCAAATTTAAGCAAACACATTTCCTCCCAAAAAACCATGAAATAGGCTTGAAAACATGAAAATAGGTCCCACAACCTATTTCTTATGAGTAATCTCTCAAACTTAAGTTTCTGGGAAATGAACCAAACAGCCTCTTGTAAGAATTCATTTAAAATTAATAGTGGAATAAATATCGGGTTCTTCTTCCCTCCTACGTAATTACATATTGAGGATCTTTCGTAGAATTTTTTTTTTCCCAATAATTTAACGCGAGCTATTGTCAAACAGGAGAATAATTAGATGTGTCCCTATCAATTTTAAAGCTGCGACAATGCAAACTTTTATATTGTTTGTAGTACATCAGTATTTCGTATGTACTAATTCTTTAATTGTTTATACGTTGAACTGGTTTCGTATACTGTACATTGTTTGTGTATTTAAAAATTGATAGTAAAACAGTTGTAACGCACTCCTTTGCTCCATGTATATATGATTTTCTATTAAGGGGCTATTTGGTTCGTTTTTTAACTCGGTGGAAAAGTTTTACACCACCTCCACATCAGATTTTTCGTGGCCACGTAGGATATAAGCTTTCCGTTGGTTTTTTTTCTCATCTTTGGTTCGTTAGGGTTGAAGAAGGGAAACTCGGTGAAAATCGCCGCCACATCAGATTTTCTCTCTCCCCCAATTCCTTCCTCAACCTCGTGAAATCGACGAAAACTGCAGCCACGTCGGCTTTTTGCCATATAAACAAAAGTTTTTCATTTTTTCCATGCGAACCAAACACAAGAAAAATAAATACATTGGTTTCCCATCATTTTTTTTGCGAACCAAAGCGAAACAATCTATTTATTAGAAAATTTTGAAAAACTCAAAACTTGAGATATTTAATACATTGGTTTTCCATCTTTCGCTGTGCAGATGTAAATGTGACACGCTCACATGAGAAAATTGAGATGAAAATTTTCACTGTCTACGTAGCAATTGGTAGCAAGATGTCAATTTTAAACAATTTAGGATATTTAATTGTAGTGAAAAATAAATTATAATGCAAGTGTTGTTTAGCCTTTTATAAATTCCTACTTAACATAAAATATTCAAGCCTAATCGCTTTTAATTGCCCGTACACAGTAAACATCAAATTATTATACAACTAATCCGCTGTCCGTATTTTGCGGACATGTGGGCTAAACCATTTGACGGAAAACCACCTACGACCGAAAGAATACCAAGTCGGCCCAACTAAATCCAGAAGCGGTTTTCACGAAACCACCCGCTAATGGTTTTTCTTGTCTCCTTTACCTGCTCCTCTAACCTGGACTAGCATGAAAACAATAGTGTTAATTGCACCCTGATGCACCAAAGTTTGCAAATGAATAATTTTTCAAAACAGACCGATTTAGCTTTTTATTTTTCAAAATCGACCGTTTTTTTATTTATCAAAATCGACCCGATTTTATGATTAGCAGTTTAATCACTATCCTAAAAAGTCGGGGTTGCCAACCCCGACTATTTAGGATAGTGTTAAACCCTAATTAAAGGTCTTAAACCCTAAAAATTAATGTCTTAATTAGTCGGGGTTGGCAACCCCGACTATTTAGGATAGTGATTAGCCTGCTAATCACAAAACCGGATCGATTTTGATAAATAAATAAAAAAACGGTCGATTTTGAAAAATAAAAAACGAAATCGGCCTATTTTGAAAAATTGTTCGTTTTCAAATTGATCAAGATTTAATTTCGCAAATGACGAAACACATATGTAATCCCATAACATATTTAATCGCATCAAATCACCTTGAAATTTAACTTTTCTCGTCGGACCTCTCAACGGTAATTCGTAAATAGCTCAATTTTTTTTTCAAATTTATTTATTTGTCCAATTATAGGCAATACATCCCACTCCCTTTCCTAGCATTGCGGGCTTTTTTTCTCTTTAAAGCATTTTCAGTCATTTGTAAGCTACATACAGAGAGCCCCCCAAAATTCAAGGTGGTTGTATGAGATAAAAATATTGGGAGGGTTAATTCGTGAAATAAACTCTAGAATTAATATAAAGATTCACATGGTCCCACAAAATGAAGATTCACATGGTCCCTCACAAGGACGCCGGTTAACAAAACTGTAGACAGAGATCAGCATACGCTGCTGTGGTTTTGTGGTAACGCCGCTGTATAAGACTCCCACAAAATAGATTGAAGGGCCAATCAGTAATTTTCCGTTCATTCTAAATTTGTCTAGATACCCCCGTCTCTATAAATTGTCGCATCACCACCTTTGCTCTGTCCAACATTCCTCTCATAACTGATAAGTATCATCCACAGTGATCATAACAGGGGTATTTCAGGAAGAGTTAGAGAGAGAAGAGTTTTGTGAGTGAAAATTCTGCGAGTTTTTTTTTTGAGTGATGGCTAGCACCGCTGGGAAGAGCATCAAGTGCAGAGGTTTGCTATTTCATCCCAATTTTTTGTGTGCTTTTTTTTTGGGCTAATTTTTGTGGGTAGAAAAAAGGGGTTGTGTTTGGATCCTTTCAATTTGAAAAATAATTAGTTAGGAATTTTATGGGTTATTTAATTCATATAGATTAGTGGATCATGTTATGTGTTTATGTAATTTTATTTTATTTTTATTTTTTTGTCAAGTGGATGAAAAACTTTTTAGTAGTAGTTGATGAGCCGGTCACTTGATTGAATCTTGATGCATCTGTGAATCATGTGTTATTTTTTTAAATGAATAAATAAATTATGAGCGCTTTGATGAAGTTTCATGTCTAGTTCTAGCTAGCTTTATTATATTTTTTTGAATGTTGATGCATTTGGGTATTGAATGTTGATGATTTTATCTTATTTGGTGTGTCATGTTATCTGTTTATGTAATTTTTTTCACTCAAATTTATGGAAATTCATTTATTAGTGTACCTGATGAAGTCTTTATCAGTGTAGCATTTTTGGATCTTGATGGATTTGGGTATTGAATATTGATGAAGAATTTTGCATGTATATGTTCAGTTTATTTGATTAATTTTGATGATCTGTTGATATAATAGCTGCGGTAGCGTGGGAGGCTGGGAAGCCTCTGGTGATAGAGGAGGTGGAGGTGGCTCCGCCGCAGGCCAACGAGGTCCGCCTGAAGATCTTGTACACTGCACTCTGCCACACTGATGTCTACTTCTGGGAAGCTAAGGTATGTTATCAACTCTTTGCCTTTGGATTTGATGCTTATTGTAAGTTCGATAAATTGCCGATAAACCCTTGAACTCGTTTAGTAGCATTTATCACCCCTCAATTCGTAGGTAAAATGTGAAATCCAGGCCTAGTAAGTGGTGATAAACAAGTTGAGAGTGAGAGATAGTAAGGGCAATTTGCAATTTATGTTCATAACTTGAGTTCTTGGTGAAGAGACAACTTCATTGATCATAATCATTAGATAGTGTCTACCTGATTGTGATTTGTTTCTGATATACAACCCATAGTGTACTATCTATGAATTGTATTTATTTTCATTTATCACTCGAAGAAAATCATAATCGTTCATTATATGGTAGAAGGATTGTGGTGGATGGAGGAAGTGATCTCTCCATTTATTTTGCTAAAATGTCCTGTTTTTAATCAAAATTTTGATTGTGATAAACCCATCTTTGTTTCTCATTTCTGTATATTTGGATTATCACAGGGCCAGAATCCGGTGTTTCCTAGGATCTTTGGGCACGAAGCAGGAGGGTAAGAAATTCCTTATGCATCTTAAGTCTTTTGAGAACTCAGTTTTCATTTCAAGTGGTTCCCTTTGTTTCATGGAAATCTTTCAAAGGTATATATGCAACTTGTTTTAAGAAGATTTTAGTGTGAAATCGTACTGACCTTTTGTCGCAGAGTTCACAAAACTTTTTGAAATTTGTTTGCTTATAACTTGCACAAACTTCATTGGCATTATGCAATTATTATGGGGGAAAAGTTCTTTTTATTTGAGAATTTCGTGAATTATTCTTATTGAATTTTGGACGTAATTCAAAATCCTGGATCTCTGCCAAAGCAAACTGTACCTTGGAAGTTGCTAAAAGTAATTTTGCTAATGGTATGTTAATGCTAGTTTTATAGGTTGCTTTATGTTTATCTATACCAATTTAATAAACTTTGTTTTATAAACTAGTACATGTAATCGTAAAGCCTTTGACCTTCAACATTTGTAGGATCGTTGAAAGCGTCGGTGAGGGCGTGACTGACCTTGCACCAGGAGACCATGTACTCCCCGTTTTCACCGGAGAATGCAAAGCATGTCCACATTGCAAATCAGAGGAGAGCAACATGTGTGATCTCCTCAGGATTAACACCGACAGAGGAGTCATGATTGGAGACGGTCAGTCGAGATTCTCAATCAACGGAAAGCCCATCTACCATTTTGTTGGGACCTCCACATTCAGCGAGTACACTGTTGTGCATGTCGGTTGTGTCGCCAAGATCAACCCTTCTGCTCCGCTCAATAAAGTTTGTATCCTTAGTTGTGGCATTTCGACAGGTAAGACAACAAAATAACCATCCTTTGACTTTTTTTTAAAGTATTAGTGTCTTCTGAAACTAAATAGGATAAACAGAAAATCCTCTAAAGTGATATTTTAACTTGTTCATTTTCATTTTTCACAGATAATTATTATCTTTTTATGAAATCATGAATGATCACATATATGTTTATATAAAAGTACATATAATTCTCATATTCTGTGAATGTAGTTTGATTCAACTTAACTTCATAGAGAACGAAATGGAAGGGTCAAAGTGTAACTTTTTTAAAACTTCAGTGTGGCTTCTAAGAATCATGCAAACTGTAGAGATTTTCTGTAAATTACTAAGTAAATGAGTTAACTAACTTCAATTGATTCTTTGAAGGCCTTGGAGCTACTCTGAATGTTGCAAAACCGAAAAAGGGTTCGACGGTGGCTATCTTTGGATTGGGGGCTGTAGGCCTTGCTGTGAGTCTTTCCTCATCCTTGTAGAATTTCATCTGATTCATTTGATTTGTCTTATTGTTCACTCTTTAATTGTGTATATAATAAACTCAATTTTATGTTTCTACTAAAGGCTGCTGAAGGAGCTAGGATTGCTGGGGCTTCTAGGATCATTGGTGTTGATCTGAACCCGGCAAGGTTTGACGAAGGTGAATTATCTTCTAATCTCATGAAATCCATTTTGCATATTTTTAAATGTTCATAGAAAAACTTGAACAATATTAGTAATAGTTTTAATTGATTTGAGATTGATATTAACAATTCCATTTTGTTGCATTATCAGCAAAGAAATTTGGGGTAAATGAGTTTGTCAATCCAAAGGACCATAACAAGCCAGTTCAGGAGGTCTGTTCTGAACTCTGATACACTTGTGATTTTCGAATTCAAATCTAATGAATTGGTGATAATCTGAGACTACTTGGGGCTTTCTCTAGGTTCTTGTTGAGATGACCAACGGAGGAGTGGATCGCAGTGTGGAATGCACGGGCAATGTTGATGCCATGATATCTGCTTTCGAAAGCGTTCATGACGTAATATATTCCCTCTCGGATCTGTTTGCTTGTTGTTAGAATATAAAGTTATTATGACTCTCAATCATCACCATAATTTCGGAGTTGATATGGAATTTAATATGTTATCAGAGTAATCTAGATTTTTTAATAATGCCCCACTGCCTAAATAGCCTGGATTTTGCCCTGGGAAAGGGTGCTCCACCTAAGGGGGCATGTTATAATACATCATTAATTGCACGTAGACCCCCTTAAAATTGTTGTTTGCAATTACCAACCCTGTAGTTTCGTTGTTGCTGGTAGACCCCCTGGGCTAAATTTTTACGACTCTTTTACCCTTGGTGAAATTTTGGCAGATATTGCCCATGGGTGAAATAAACAAGCTATCTGAGGATAAAAGAGTCGAGGAAATGTAGTCCATGGGGTCTGTGTGCACAATGAAGCTACAGATGTTAAGTTCAAAATAGTAATGCTGCAGGGCATTTATGTGTGCAATTAACCCCGGAATATAACATTACAACCCTCAATCCTAAGAATTACTTCAGAGTTTCGGTGTAATGGATGAGACGGCACCATTTGTGGTCTAACTATGTATTTAGCCCGAGTGTTCTAACAATTTTTCTCCGAAAAATTTTAGGGTTGGGGTGTTGCAGTACTCGTCGGCGTGCCTCACAAAGACGCAGTGTTCAAGACCCATCCGATGAATCTCCTTAATGAGAGGACTCTGAAGGGTACTTTCTTTGGGAACTACAAACCTCGCTCTGATCTCCCTTCGGTCGTTGAAATGTACATGAAAAAGGTATATAAACCAGTATATGCTCAAATCATCGGTATACGACATTATTTGACTACAGATATAACATTGTGTTTTTTTTTTCCCGATATGTGCAGGAGCTAGAAGTGGAGAAGTTCATCACACATGAAGTTTCCTTATCAGAGATTAACAAGGCTTTTGACTACATGCTCCAAGGTGTTGGCATCCGTTGCATCATCAAAATGGACGGTTGAGATCTAAAATAAAGGTTTGCTTTATGTAAAAAAACTTAAACATGCCCTGATCCTTAATACTATTCTAAATAAAAAGGGCAGTTGAGTTCTTGTATGGAGATGAGTAGTGTTTGTTTTGGATGCTGAAGGAGAGTTTCCTGGTGTTTGTTCATCAGTGTTGCTTTGTAATTTGCTTGTTTGTTACCCCCTTTTTAATTTCATTAGGTGTTTTCCCCTTTTGGTATACTAGTATAATGCAAGCATGTGAATGTACATGTGAACTTATATTATTGTCGATTCTATAAGTTCTCTTAAACGTGCCCTTCCAATTTGAATTAACTTTACTCTAAATAACTTAACTCTAAATTAACGAGGATACGTCAATCTTGTTAGTTTTTTCCTCATGCTTCCTAGATAGTTAGGTTTGATATATGTAACATATTGTAATAGTTACTTCTCATTATAATTATTTAATAGGATAAATTACATTAAACCCTTATGAACTTCCAGCTCATATGAACTTTTAAAATTACACTAAATCCCTAATGACTTTTCTATTTCAAATAAGACCCCTAATAATTTTCTAAATTTTGTAAATAACCCCTATAAATTAGAACCAGAAAATGACATAAAAAAGGTATTTTGAAAATTATTGGAGGTATGGTGTAATTTATCTAAAAAATAATGAGGCATTTCTACAAAAACTATTTAGGGGTTTAGTGTTATTTAGAAAGTGTATAAGGTCTATTTACTACAAGATGCTAAAAATTCATGAGGGTTTACTGTAATTTATCTTATTTAATATTATAGCATTTAGTTTAAGTAATAATATTAAAATAATTATATTGTCTATATACTATAAAATATTTACCTAATTTAATTTTTTAACTATGCTCTTAAGAAATTTAGTATTATAAATATTTTATAAATTTTTACTATACAATCATTAACAATTAATAGTGTTGTTATTAATATTAATTTTTTTTTAAAAATGTTAGTTTTCAATCATTACAAAGTATAGATTATTTAGTATCAGGTAATAATATTTGAGAAAATACTCTAAAAATAATATTAAATTATTTATTTAATTTATTTAATAATATCATAATAAATAAATATTGTAAGTCATAATTTATGTGATATTATTAAAACAATTATATTATTTATGCGATTTAAAATTTATTCTATTTATTTTATTGCTCATTGAATTATAGTATAATTCTTAATAGTATTTAGTAATATATTATTCTAGTTATACTATTATTTTAATTATTTTGTTATAATTCATAAATAATTATTATAATAATTTAACTGGTTAACACTAATAATTGTGTATACTTATTTTATAAATTATTTTATTTAATAATAAAATAATTAATAGTTATAATATTATTCATAATTATAGTTATTTAGAAAGGTGAGCAAGTACATAATTAATAAGATCTTATATTTATTTAATATAAGATTACTTAATGGTGTGTTTGGGAGTTTACTAAGGGAAGGGAAGGAAAGGTAAACAACAGGAAGGGAAGGGAAGGGAAGGGAATGGAAAAGAATTGTAATATGTTGTTTGAGAGTTGAGTAAGGTGAATGAAGGTGAAAGGAAGTAAATATATATAAATTTACATAAATGACTTTATACTAATAACACATCAGCCCTTTTATTTGTTTTGATGGGGGTAAGAATACCAAGCAATTTTACCCTCCATTCCCCTTCCTTCCTCCTCTCTACCCTCCTTAAAAAAACTCCCAAACAATGTGAAAGCTGCATTTCTCTTTCCATCCCACTCTCTACCCTCCATCCAAACAAGGCATAAAGATAATGGCATAGTTAGAATTTATCAAAGTTTGAGAGGGTAAAAAGGTAAATTAAAAGTTTTAACACTCCAATCCTCTTTTTATAATAGTATAGATGTAAATGTAGATATAATAATAATGAGAAGTTAACATATGTGTAGTGTGGCTCCTCTGTTAGTATTTTAGCAAGTTATGCGTTGCTGTGTATGTGAAATTGGAAACTTTTGTTTTATTCAACAACAATGATGCACCATAATTGCATGGAGAGATTCTGTATTATTGTCACTCCTATATGTCACATTACATAAAATAATTTTCCATTAGGGTTAACTGTACATCATTGCTTAGAACTTACTACCCCTATAGTTTGATTTTGACAAATAGATATCTGGGAAGAGTTTTTTTTTTTTTTTTGAACTTACTACTTCAATCCTCTCCACTATAAAAATAAATAGCGGAGAGATCACTGCTATATTGACACTATTGATTTGTTTAATGTATGGTTATGATTTGCCTTTAGATATAAATTAGGAAAAGAGATTTAACTATGTGATTATGGTTAGAATAAGATTTAAAATAAATCATAATCATCCACTGGATTTATTATAAGATATGATTAATGTACTGGTCTCACAATCAAGCTTGATCCAAACTAATGGATCCACCCATAACTACATAACCCTTTCAAACTGGCCCATTTAGATTAATGGGCCTAAATGGACTGGTGACTGTTGTTATAGAAGATAAATGGGTACTAAATAAATGGGAGCGTTTAATTAAAGTGGTCTTGCAATTGTTGACGTTTTTTGACCGTCTGATTGTCAAATGGAGAGGTGCCGAACATGTTAGTTATGATGATCTAGAGTCTTATTGGAATACTAATAGCCTTTGCAAGATGAGCACGGCCCAAGAGGCCCATGGTCAGCCTCATGATTGTGCTTTACAAAATGTTGTAATATCAAAAATTACAAGACACCTTTGAAGATTAGAAGAGACTTGTAATATCAAAAATTACAACCAACCCTTATATGATTAAAAAAACTGCAATAGCACATTTGAAATATGAAAATTAACAGCAGCTTCACAAAATCTGCAAAATATCCATGGTGTTTTTTGTATTTTTTGAATTTTTTTTTCAGATACCCTCCTAAAAGTTAACAACCGGCACATTTTAATCTTTGCAGACTTTGCAAATAGCCCTCTAAAACTTTGCAATTAGACCTCTGATTTTTTGCAAATTATCCTACGACAATTTTCCAAATGGGTAAGTGGACCGCCCGTTAAATAAAAGGGTAGGCGAGGGATGACTTATTTAGAAAGTGCTAAATTGGTCATAAATGGACAAATGGGCGCAAAGATGCCCACCCATTTATTGTCATAAATGATCCAACTCAAAACCATCGAAATCCACCCACTTGACATCCCTCGTCTCAAGCAATAGACTATTTAACGGCTATGAGTAATGTAATGCTCTACTATCACAATGATACATACCTTTATATAGAGCTGCCTATACTTTGCAATCCAAAAATCTATACTTCTATATAACAATCTAAGTGAGGGTAATCCAAAAAATGAATGAGTGGTGAACATGCCCTCTTTCTTATTATGGTTGAAATGACAAAAAAATAACTTAACAAAAGCGATTTTATCGCTTTATTGTTTCTAGAACAATCTATCCTTATTTTATCATAAATATAGATAAAGCATGTTCATATTTTTCCTTCTCTTTTCTAAAACATTTTAATAAATATTTTTTCAGAAACATTGGCAAAGTCTATATAAACAAAAGCATATATAATTATACAAAGTTTAATTACTCAAATCAAGGTTCAAATAAAAAATAACGAATCAGGACTATAATTTAAGAAGGATTGCGTCCATAACTATGACTCAAATGGTAAATGGTCTAAGGTGGATCATAAATAGCCATAAATTTATATCTCTACTATTAACCTAAAAAATTAAGAATTACACATTTCAATCGAATCTGTTGAATAGAACTTTGCTTCTTTCATTGAATTGATTTCCGTGAACAAACTTATAAAATTTTAAGCAACAATTCCCTCTGAGCTAAAAGAATTATATTGAATTAATTTTAATAAGGGAAAATTGCTTGGAGGAACCCAAAAAAGTTGGGCCATGCATCCTCCTCCCCAGCCCAAAAATCATAACCCCCAAGCCCTTAAATTGAAACATAAGTGCAATCAACCCCTTCTTCCCACTCCTAAGAAATTCATTCCCAAATTAACCTTTTTTCCCATTTAAAACTTAATCTCTTTCCTCCTCAAGCTGACATAATCTGGCCCAAGACCTCTCCCTCCCCAACCACCGCCGACGCCGCAGCCTCCTCCCCCTTCCTCTCCTCCCTTCCTCCTCCCTCCTTGTCCACATCCTCTCCTCCTTCCCCTTCCCCCTCCTCCCCGACCCCCTCCTCGGCTCTGTCCGCCTCCTCCCCTCCCCTCCCCTTCCTTAGCTATTTCTTTTTGTAGACCTCTTGGATTGAGAGGACTGGCTTCCAAGGCGTCGTTTTGCACCCAAGGGACAAAAACTAGGCCAGGATTGAATTTCATGTTGAATTTTTATTAAAGTAAATTCGTAATAAAAATGTCGTTTTAGAGAAAATAAAGTGAAAATACGGATCGACTAGATTAACTATTGTGAAGTTTATTTATATAACCAGTTGTTACCGTTACGCTCTTCTCCCATGCTTGAGCTCTGAAGATGAAGTTTGGTATTAAAAATTAATTTATTAAAACTTTCGATCATCTAATTATCTTACTGTTTGGTGCTTTTGTAATAGGTTCCAAGCACACTAGTGGTGAATGCACTCTCAAAGCAGAGGGCGATGCTGGAGAACATCTTCAGGGCTTGCATTGGCTTGGCTCCTGAAAACAACATGATCCTGGAGTACAAATGAGAGCTGATCTTGAGAGATCGAGGGATTAATAAATTTAGAGGGATTAGAGGAAAGGAGGAGGAAAAAAAGACCCTATTCGTATAAGTTCTGCTTGGATGTTGTTGTGTTAATGGCTTTGTTTTTTTAGTTATGGTATGGGGGTGTGCTTCTCCTCTTCTAAATGTCTATGTAATGGTTCTTATTTTCTTTTCTTTTACTTTTTCTATATTAATATCCAGGTGTCCTTTTATGTGATATTTGTAGTTAATATGTGATATTTATAGATAATATGTGATATTTTCTATGTTATTCAAGTTTTTTATATTTATATGATTTATATTACACTTGATTATGTGACATATGATAGTTTCATGTGACATATGACGGTTTCATGTCACATATGTTGTTTTTATGTGATGTTTATGCATTCTGTGTGGCATATGCTGCGTGTATGTCACATATGATTGTTTCCTGTGATATTTTGGTATTATGTGTGACATATGCTGCTGTTATGTGATATTTTTACATTCTGTGTGATATACTC